TAGGCCAATGTCTAGAAGAGTATTTCCAACATTTTCCTCTAGAATTCTAATAGTTTCACAACCAATGTTCAAGTCTGTTATCCAGTGTGAATTGATTTTTGTGAGAGGTGAAAGGTGTGCGTCCTGTTTCAGTCTTCTACATGTGGCTATCCAGTTTTCCCAGCACCATTTATTGAATAAGGATTCTTTTCCCCAGTGTATGTTTTTGTCTGCTTTGTCGAAGATTAGTTGGCTATATGAGGATGGTTTTATATCTGGGGGTTCTCTGTTCTGTTCCATTGGCCAATGTCCCTGTTCTTGTGCTAGTACCAAGCTGATTTAATTACTATAGCCTTGTAGTATAGTTTGAAATCTGGTAAATTGATACCTCCTATTTTGTTTTTATTGCCTAGGATTGATTTTGCTATATGGGGTCCTCTTTGGTTTCATATGAAGTGTAAAACTGTTTTTTCTATATCTGTGAAAATTGATGATGGTATTTTAATAGGGATTGCATTGACTCTGTAGGTCACTTTGGGTAGTATGGACATTTTAACAGTGTTGATTCTGCCGACCCATGAGCATGGTATATTCTTCCACTGTTTACATCCTCTGCTGTTTCTTTCTTCAGTGTTTCATAGTTCTCCCTGTAGAGTTCTTTTACCTCCTTAGTTAAATATATTCCTAGGTACTTTATTTTCTTTGTTGCTATTTTGAAGGGAATTGAGTCTTTGATTTGTTTCTCACTTGTACTGTTATTGGCGTATATGAATGCCTCTGATTTCTGTGTATTGATTTTGTATCCTGAGACTTTACCTGATTCGTTTATCAATTCAAGGAGTCTCTTGGTTGAATCCTTGGGGTTTTCTAGGTATAATATCATGTCATCAGCAAAGAGTGAGAGTTTGATCTCTTCTGCTCCCATTTGGATGCCCTTAATTCCGCTTTCTTGTCTGATTGCTGTAGCAAGGACTTCCAGCACTATGTTGAATAGGAGTGGAGATAGTGGGCATCCTTGTTTTGTTCCAGTTCTAAGTGAGAATTGCTTTCAATTTTTCCCCATTCAGTTTGATATTGGCTGTGGGTTTGTCATATAAAAGGCTTGTATCATTTTTAGGTAAGCCCTGTCTATGCCTATTTTATTGAGCATTCTTATCATAAAAGGGTGTTGAATTTTGTCAAACGCTTTTTCTGTGTCTGTTGAGAAAATCATATGGTCTTTGTTTTTGCTTCTGTTTATATGGTGAATTACATTTATAGATTTGCATATGTTGAACCATCCCTGCATCCCTGGGATGAAGCCCACTTGGTTGTGATGGATTATTTTCTTGACAAGCACCTGGATTCAGTTGGCTAGGAGTTTGTTGAGAATTTTTGCATCTATATTCATAAGGGATATTGGTCTGTAGTTTTCTTTTTTTGTTGCATCCTTTCCTGGTTTTGGTATCAGGGTTATGTTTGCTTCATAAAATGTGTTTGGGAGGATTCCATCCTTCTTGCTGTTGTGAAATAATTTCGGCAGGATAGGCACCAGTTTTTCTTTGTAGGTGTGGTAAAATTCGGGTGTGAAACCATCTGGTCCAGGACTTTCTTTTTAGGAAGGTTTATTGCTGTCTCAATTTCATTACTTGATATTGGTTCTAATCTTTTTTTTTTGAGATGAAGTCTCACTATCTTGCTCAGGCTGGTCTCAAACTCCTGGGCCTCCCAAAGTTCTGGGATTACAGACAGGAGCCACTGTGCCTGGCCTCTCTTCTCTTGATACAGGTCCAGGGAAGGTGTCATTGTCTTTGTTTCATCAGTGTGTCAGATATTCTTTAAGAAGGGAAATAAAGTGGGAAGGTGAGGTTGGTACCCAGTATGATTTCCTTTGTTAAAACAGTCCATAGCTGCTCAAACTTTGCTGTTAAGGAAACACTATTCTAGGGTGATTTTAAATAGGCCAGAGGAGGGGCAATTATTTATCATTAAACTGTTTTTTTTAAAACTGGACCTAAAACTAGGTCTGTTTTCTGTTTATCATGACTCCAAATTTAACATGCAGTATTTTTCTAGCACATTTGACTCTTTTTAGAGCATTTGCTATAGAACAGTTTAATTTGAAGGGGATTTTATTTTTCAAAAATATTAATAAAGTCTTAAAATATGTGTGCAAAAATGTCTAATTATGTTAATTCCTGGACCCTCTCCCCTTCAGTTTTAAAAAATTAGTTAATCATAGCACAATTTGAAAGTAGGTAGGTCAAAGAATTATATGATTACCACATGGTGGCAGCAATTTTGGCCAGTAAACAGATAACTTAGCAATAGCACCGAACCTCATGTTTTTATGGGTGTCAAAATGCCAGTGATTAATCTTGGTAATTATTGTTGGTTCTTTTAATAGTCACCGTTCCTATAATGTAAATCTTGTAAATGTTTCATCCAGCATTTAAATAGTCATTAATTGGTGATACTGTTACTAGTGTTAGAAAATTTGCCCCCAAATTGATAACCTTGACATGTAAATTACATATGATAAAATATTATATAGAAGGTTAAATAATTACTGTGAGCTTTTTGTATTATTAATTTAGGAGAAAAATGCTCTGTAAAATAATAGAAATTGTGCTGAGAAAGTTAAAAGCAGCAATAAAATAAAAAGCTGTTTGGTAGTTTATGCTCTTTAAGAATTCATTCCCCCAAACTTTACCTTTTATGGAGACAGGATATTGCTCTGTTGCCCAGGTTAGAGTGCAGTGTCATCACCATAGCTCACTGAAACCTCAAACTCCTAGGCTCAGCAATCCTCCCACCTCAGCCTTCTGAGTAGCTAGGACTACAGGCATGCACCTCCACACCTGGTTAATTTTTATTTTTTATAGCAATGGGATCTTGCTATGTTACTCAGGCTGGTCTCAAGCAATCTTCCTGCCTTAGCCTCCCAAGGTGCTGGGATTACAGGCATAAGCTACTGCATCTGGCTCCAAACTTTACTTTCATGCCATAGGAAAGATGTCTCGAATTCTGCCTGCGTGAACAATGCCAAGCACATTAGGGGCACATTTTACATACAATGTAACCTATAATCAAGAAACTTTTCTATATAGTAAATGGGAGTTAGGTGTGCAGGAGAGGTAATTTTGGTAACTTTGGAGTGGGATAGGCCTCGGAGAGTGAACTATGGGAAACTTTATCGAGCTAGGTAACAACATTGAGGGGGCAGATTTGGGGTCAGTATAGTGAGTTTCAGGAGATAAAAGAGAATTGCCATGAGGTAGGAAAAATCTAATTTTTAAAAAATCTGTTTTGTCAATAAAAGGAAAAACAAGCACTGAAGAAATTAGATAATGTCCGAAAGGATCACGAAAACAGATTAGAAGCTCTTCAACAGGCTCAGGTATTATGTTTAGATTTTTCAGATGCTTTTTCAAAAATGTTAACCTTTAAGTGGCATTATAGTAAATGTGTTTGGTTTGTTTCTTAAGGAAATAGACAAACTGAAAGGAGAACTCATAGAAATGAACCTGCAAATAGTTGACAGAGCCATTCAGGTAGTTCGAAGTGCTTTAGCCAACCAGATAGATTGGACAGAAATCGGGTTAATTGTGAAAGAAGCTCAAGCCCAAGGGGACCCTGTTGCAAGCGCAATCAAAGAGTTAAAACTACAAACGAATCATGTTACGATGCTGCTAAGGTAAGTCTGATTCTTAGTTAAGCAGTTAATGCTTGTCTTTATTTTGTTACTTAACTGTTCACTATATTCATTAAAAAAATGTTTATCTTTATTTGGAGATTTATTCTCAAATAGAAGACAATTAATTTAGATTAAAATATAAATAATGAAACTTTAAATACTGTAAACCATTTATAATTTTGTTGAGGAAAAGAAATTGAAAGTAAAAAAGTGATGTCATTGACATTAGTGAAATACTATTGAATATTTTTAATAGAAATCCATACTTGTTATCAGAGGAGGAAGATGACGATGTTGATGGTGACGTCAATGTTGAGAAAAATGAAACCGAACCACCAAAAGGGAAAAAGAAAAAGCAAAAGAATAAACAGCTGCAGAAACCTCAGAAAAATAAGCCATTACTTGTTGATGTTGATCTCAGCTTGTCAGCATATGCCAATGCCAAAAAGTAAGTCATTTAAGTTTAAATTTTAGGTAAAATATTATCTGTGATAAATGAGGTTACTAAGGATGCTAAGAAAAAATTATTTTACTGTATTATATGTTGACTTCTTTTGGATAAAAGTGTTTAATTTAGTTTTTGTGCATTATGCAATTTCTTATGATTTTTTCTGTATAATTTTGGAATCTATAAAATTAGAAATAAGTAAAAAACTAAAAAATAAAGATTTTACTTAAAATTTAAGAGGAATATGTTTTTCTAGGTATTATGATCACAAGAGATATGCTGCCAAGAAAACACAAAAGACTGTTGAAGCTGCTGAGAAGGTGATTAATATTTCTTAGAGTGAATGTTAATTGTTTTTGCCTGCTTTAGTTTAATAGCATTAATTATGTCTCCTGTTTAAATGAGGTTTTCTAATTCAGAAATATCTTTCAAACTTAATTTTGCTTTAAATTTATATATTTCAAGTTTTACTTTCATCCCCAAACTGCTCCTCCCCCATTCTTTCCCATCTCAGTAAATAGTACCTTCATGTTTCTCTTTGCCCAGGTTAAAAACATTTGTAATATCCTGGAATCTTCTCTCGTCATCTACAATCCATCTCCAAATCCTTTTGGTTCTTTCTTTTAAAGTATAACCAGAACCTGGCTGTTTCTCATTATATCCACTGGTCAGTCCTCCCATTTTCTCTGTGTTCACATGGATAAAACAATAGCCTCTTACTGGATCTGTCTCTTCCTACCTTTTACCCACTGCAGACTGTTCTCCATGTAGCAGCCTTTGTGATCCTTTTAAGTCAGAAGTGAAGTCCTTTCTCTCCTCTGCTCAAAATCTTCCAGTTACTTCCCATCTTAATATAATTCAGAACCCTTCTCCTGGCATACAAGGACCTACTCATCATCTGCTCCCCTCTGAACTCATCACCTGTATCCCTCTTCTCATACTTGCTGTCTACACTAGGATCTTTGATGTTCATAAAGTAATGACACATTTTACTCTCTCAGGGCCTTTGCACTTGCAGCTCTCTACCTGGAATGTTCTTCCCTCAAAATTTTCATGCTTTGATCCCTTCCTTCATTCACATGTCTGCTTAAAGGAGACTTTATCAGAGAATCCTTCCTTGACCACACTTTTTTTTTTTGAGACAGAGTCTTACTTTGCTGCCCAGGCTAGAGTGAGTGCCGTGGCGTCAGCCTAACTCACCGCAACCTCAAACTCCTTGGCTCAAGCAATCCTGCTGCCTCAGTCTCCCTAGTAGCTGAGACTACAGGCGTGTGCCACCATGGCCGGCTAATTGTTTCTATATATATTAGTTGACCAATTAATTTCTTTCTATTTATAGTAGAGACGGGGTCTCACTCTTGCTCAGGCTGGTTTCGAACTCCTGACCTCGAGCAATCCGCCCGCCTCAGCCTCCCAGAGTGCTAGGATTACAGGCGTGAGCCACCGCGCCTGGCCCCTTGACCACTTGACCACTTTTATTAAAAATAATACTACCCTCAGTCAGTCTCTCTATTTTGGTTTGTTTTTCTCCTTAATCCTGCACCCCATCAACGGATACGTTTATTTGATTATTTATTTGTCTCTCCCCTCTAAAATGTAGATTGCGTGAAAGATGGATCTTAGTCTATTTTCTTTATCACTGCATCCCTGTCCCTGGAATTTTGCTTGGAACAAAGTAGTACTTTTATATCTGTTAAATGAGTGGCCTTCATGACTTGGCCCTTTATCTACTGTTACAACCTTATGTCTTTCTTTTTTTTGAGAGAGACAGAGAATGTCATCCTGTCACCCCAACTAGAATGCAGTGGTGTGGTCACAGCTCACTGCAACCTCAAACTCCTAACTCCTAGGCTCAATCAAACAATTCTTCTGCCTCAGCCTCCCTGAGTAGCCGGGACTACAGGTGCATGCCACTACACCTGGCTAATTTTTTCTGTTTCTTGTAGAGACAGAATTTCACTTTTGTGCAGGCTGGTCTTGAACTCCTAGCCTCAAGCAATCCTTCTGCCTTGGCCTCCCAGAGTGCCAGGATTACAAGTGTGAGCCTCTTCGCCTGGCCTCCAACCTAACTTCTTGACATTTTGCCCTGTGATCACTACTTTCTGGTCTTTTCTTTCTGCTTTTCATACCCTTCTTCCTATTCTTTGCCCTATAACTTCATTAGTCCTTTAGGCTTGAGCTTAAATGCCATCTTCTCAGAGATACCTTCTTTGACCATACATAATCCAGCATAAATTGGGTTCCTTTGTTATACTCTTAAAGCATGTTTAGAAGCACCTTCCATATGTTTATTTGAATGATTATATGTTTAATGGTTGTCTCTGCTACTACACCCCAGTGGGATGGCAAGGGGGAACTTTATCCATTTTGTTCACTATCATAATCTCCAGCAGCTAGCCTAGAATCTGGTACATGATAGGCACTCAGTATCTATTCAATGAACAAGGCATTTCTTAATTTGCAGGTCTTGAAGAAATATTTGCATACAATAAATCGTTGACTTAAATTACTTTAATATTTGAGACAAAATATTTTTATTTCTTCATTACTCTTAAGTGTGGATGTTTGTGTATATAGACAGTGCCATTTTTGTGACTTTTAAAAACTATTTATTGCCCCATCACTTACTTTGGTGTTACTTAAATAAATTGTTAACCGTTTATTTTTAAAACTCTTCATATAAATAGGCATTCAAATCAGCAGAAAAGAAAACAAAGCAAACGTTAAAAGAAGTTCAAACTGTTACCTCTATTCAAAAAGCAAGAAAAGTATATTGGTAAGTGCTCTTTTTTTGTTTTTGTCAGAATTACACATGCACATTGTGTAGAAAATCAGTTCTACAAAATGATGCTAAAAATACTAGTAGCTCTGCAGTTCTTCACCCCTACCCCTATTATCTACACTCCAAAGAAAACTTCTTGTAATTCTTATAAATCTGTAGGTTCCCACCCCTCCTTACCCTCCAGGTCCATGGCCTGTTAGGAACTGGGTGGCACAGGAGGAGATAATGGGTGGGGGGTAAGCCAACAAAGCTTCATTTGTATTTACACCCACTGCCCATTGCTCACATCACTGCATAAGCTCCACCTCCTGTCATATTAGTGGCAGCATTAGATTCTCAGGAGTGTGAACCCGACTGCAAACTGTGCACACAAGGGATCTAGGTTGCATGCTCCTTATGAGAATTTAATGCCTGATCAGAGGTGGAGCTGAGTCTGTGATGCTAGTGCTGGGGAGCAGTTGCAAGTTCAGATTATCATTAGCAGAGGGGTTTGCACAATACATGTAATGCACTTGAATCATCCTGAAACCACCTGCCCTTCTCTCCTTTAACTTCCATGAAACCAGTCCCTGGTGCCTAAAAGGGTTAGGGACTTCTGTTTTAGATGATTCTTTTGATACTTATGTTCATTTCTTTAGTAATATGCTTATATTGCTGCTTTTTAATTTTTCTGTCTTGTACTCTTCTACTGACTTCCCACTGGAAGATGAGGATTTTCCTCTCTTTCCCCTTCTGTTCCATTACACACAATTACAGTATAGTTTTGTCAAGATTGATATTCAGCATTAGCATTATTTTGAATATTTAATTGCAGTCACAGCTGAGCTACATAGTATTCTGTTTTCTTTTTCCTTCCTTGCTCGGTTTTGTTTTTTTTTTTTTTTTTTGAGACAGAGTCTTACTCTGTTGCCCAGGCTAGAGTGCCATGGCGTCAGCCTAGCTCACAGCAACCTCAAACTCCTGGGCTCAAGCAAATGCCACAGTCTCCCGAGTAGCTGGGACTACAGGCATGTGCCACCATGCCCGGCTAATTTTTTCTATATATATTAGTTGGCCAATTAGTTTCTTTCTATTTATAGTAGAGACGGGGTCTTGCTCTTGCTCAGGCTGGTTTCGAACTCCTGACCTCAAGCAATCTGCCCGCCTCGGCCTCCCAGAGAGCTAGGATTACAGGCGTGAGCCACCGCGCCCGGCCTCGGTTTTTTTTTTTTTTTTTTTTTTTTTAATCTTTCCTGGAGTTAATAATTGTCTTCCTTCATTTGCTTTGTTTTTATTTTTGTTTGTATAACTAATTTATCTTTAAATTCTTTTTCAAGTGTGTTCAAAGACATTAGAATTTCATCAGCATCATCTTGCAGAGGTCAGAAGTCTCTCTTGGAGCTTTTTGACCTGTGTTATTTTAGATTGGTTTATGATCTCCTTTTGTTTTTATCCTAGAAGTTGTCTTTATTCTTTTTTGTGTTAGAATCTCTGTTCTGGATCTCATATTTACTCTTTCTTGGTTGATAGAGTGTGTGCTCCACAAGCTTCATGAGAAGAACTGAATAGGAGATGAAGTTTTTGAAGTCTCTAATGTAGAAAACATCTTACTCTTATACTTAATGGTTTGGGTATAGAGTTGTAATTTGAAAATATCTAAGTTTTCCTTAGACTTAAAGGCATTGCTCCATTGTAGTAACTTCCATAGTTGACCTTGAGAAAAATGATGTTATTTTTATAGTTGATATTTTATATGAAACTTGTTTTTCCTTTCTACAAGCTTGTAGATCTTCTTTTTTTTTTTCTCCTTCTAATTTTTTTCTCCAAATTTTCCAGAATCTCACAATGATGTGGGTTGGTGATGACGTTTTAATCTGTTATGCTAGATACATTTGTGGGCCCTTCTAATTTGGAACTTTAAGTTCTGAGACATTTTCTTCAAATAGTTCATGAAACATTACCTGCTCTCTCTTTTGTTTTTTTAAAAAGTCTTCTTTTTGGAAATACTGTTTTTTAAAATTTGGGACCTCCTGGAATGGTTCTCGAATTTTGTAGCATTTTGTATTTTCAACTTTGTCTTTCTGTTCTGTACTCTGAGAGATTTCCTCAGCTTTATCTTTCAGTCCTACCTCTGAATTTTTTATTTTTTTCTTATCATGTTTTTAATTTTAAAAACTTTCTTTTGGTTCTTTGAATGTTCCTTGTTTTTTTTTTTTTGAGACAGAGTCTTACTCTGTTGCCCAGGCTAGAGTG